GCGGATCGCATCCCTTCCCCTCCCCTTCCCTATCTCGGTGATCCTCACGACGTTTATGCGCCCAGATGCGTGTGTGTGTGTGTGTGTGTGTGTGTGTGTGTCTGTGTGTGTCTGTGTGTGTCTGTGTGTGTCTGTGTGTGTCTGTGTGTGTCTGTGTGTGTGTGTGTGCGAGTCTGTGTGTAAGTAAGTAACTCAGTAACTGACGAAGTGAGTAAGTGCAGGTGTGTTTGTGTTTGTGTAAGTTTGTGTGTGTGGGAGTGTGCGTGTGTTTATGTATGTGCTTGAGCGTGCGTGTTTGTGTGTTTGTGTGTATTTGTGCGTATGTGTGTGACTGTGTGTGTTTGTGTGTGGTTGTGTGTGCTTGTGTGTTCATCGTTCATTTGTGTTTGTGTGTGTGTTTGTGTGTGGTTGTGTGTGTTTGTGTGTTAGTGTGTGTTTATGTGTGTAGTTGTGTGTGAGTGTTTGTGGGTGGGTGGGTGTATTTGTGTGTGTGCTCGTGTTTGTGTGTAGGTGTTTGTGCGTGTGTGTGTTTATGTGTGATTGTGTGTGTGTTTGTATGTTGTGTGCTTTTGTATAGTGCGTGTTGTTGTATGGTTGCGTGTGTTTGTGTGTGTGGTTGTGTATGTGTTTGTGTGTTTGTGTGTGTGTGTGTGTGTTGTGTGTGTTGTGTTTTGTGCTTGTGTCTTTATGTGTTTGCGGGTTTACGTGTTTGTGTGGTTGTAGTGTGTGTGTGGCTGTCTCTCTGTCCGTCTGTCTCTCTGCCTGCCTGTCTGCCTGTCTGCCTGTCTGCCTGTCTGTCTGTCTGTCTGTCTGTCTGTCTGTCTGTCTGTCTGTGTTTACACACTTCAGCTCCGCCGATGGCGCGCAGCCTGTGTCGTCCCTCGCTGCACAGCCTGCGTCGTGTGGCTTCGGTGGGCGAGCCCACGCTGTCGCCAACACACGCTCTGAGGATCCTCGACGGGCTCTCCCCGTCCCCACCCCCGCTGCCCCTCCCGCACCTCCTCCCTCCCCCCTCCCTCCTCCGGAGTTGCTCCGCTTGAGCGCTGCTCTCCTCCTCCCCCCTGGCAACACGCCAGCCTGCTCCCGCCTCTCTCTCTCTCACACGCACTCCCTTCTGCCGGCGGCGCCGGCGGGCGCGAGCGCGGCTCTGCAGAGTCCACGGGCCGAGCCCGAAACCCGGGCGCGCTCGCGAGCGGGTCGAGGGGGAGCAGGCCCCGGCCGCCGAGAGCGTCGGCGGAGGTCGAGGTGCGGCAGGGCTCCAGGACTGCAGCCTTGAGGCGTGTATACTTGTCTGCCGCTCGGAGCAGCTTCCCTGACCTTCCACAGGAGGGCTCAAAGATAGCACCCGACTACTTGAAAGCCCATCCCAAAGCCATTGTACGTCTTGTTTTTGGGGCTGTTTCGCTCCGCTTTTCAGGTTTTTAGGTCCCCAGTGCTAAAAAATAGCTCTCTGGAAGGTCAGGGTTCGGCCGCTCGGAAGGGCGACGGCGACGGGCGCCCCCGCCTGGGGCTGCGCTCCTGGGCGGCGTGCGGCCGGCGGCTCCAGGCGGCGTCGCGCCTCGGGCTCCCCCGCCGCGGAGCGCGGTGTTCGCCCTCGTGGAGGCTGGTCCGAGACAGCGTCTCGCCGCAGGGTTCGAATGTTGTGCAGAGAGTTCCTCTCGCCCGACTGCTCCTGCTCCTGGTCCTGCTCCTCCTGCTCCCGCTCCTGTTCCTTCCCCTCCACCTCCTCCTCCTCCCCCTCCTCCTCCTCCTCCTCCTCCTCCTCCTCCTCCTCCTCCTCCTCCTCCTCCTCCCTCCTCCGCGTCCTCCTCCATGTCCTCCTCCTTCCCCACCTCCTCCTCCTGCTCCTCCTCCTCCTCCTCCTCCTCCTCCTCCTCCTCCTCCTCCTCTGGGGGGAGGCGTCTCCCAGGCCCCACGGGGATCGACTCACCATGGTATTCTGGTTCGATTTGGCCCACCAGTGAAGCTCACCATCCCTGACCTTCCAGAGAGCTATTTTTTAGCACAGGAGGCCAAAAAACCTAAAAGACGAAACGAAACAGCCTAAAACCAATACATAGAATAGCTCTGGGATAGGTTTTGAAGTCGCGTGCTATTTTGCGGCCCTCCTGGAAGGTCAGGGATGGTGTTCTGGTTGCCTCCTCCCACCAGGCTCTCCACACGGGGGGCTGGGTGGAGGCGTCTCACCGGTCCAGCGGCGGGGTTCACGCTACCGCGGGCGCTGCCGAGGGCGCGTCCGGGGCGGGCCGGAACCATGTATTTCGATGTGTCCAATCAAACCAGGGGGATGTTTAACGTGGTGGTTCCGCGCTGGAGCGATGTGTTTTCACGTGTCCAGGCCACCCAGGCGGGTACCTAATATGGTGGTCCGAGCTGGAACTAGTGGCCATTTTTATTCATTGTTTTGCCGATCGGCACAGGCCCTCGCACCCACCCCTCCCCGCACCCCCGTGGAGTAGATCTTGGCTGTTTCTTGGTGCCTGTTTCGAGCGGGTGGAGTCTCCCCCAGAGGCAGCACTCTTGCAACAGTCGCACTAAGCCAGACCCCCCCCTCCCCCCCCCTTTCCGCCCAATGTCGAAACGCCGAATAAAAAAAACGCTCACCTATGTGTTTTCCTTGTCGCTAGAAGGTTCTACGAGAGGTCCAAGGTTCCTCTCACCTAAACCTCAAGCGGGGGGAGGCGCCTCACCCTTCCGGCGGCGGTCCGGAATGGACACACTGTGGTGCTCTGGCTTGATTTGGTCCAGCAGTAGCGCTCATCAGGATGTTCTGGCTCGATTTGGTCGAGGCATGCATTTCAGCATCATGTTCTGGCTCGATTACAGCCCTCGCAGATCCAGCTCACTATGGTGTTCTGGCTCGGCTTGTTCCAAAAATGAAGCTCACTACGGTGCTCTAGCTCGATTTCCTTTTTTCACCAGAGTCTCCACAAAGGAGGCCAGGGGGGTGCGTCTCACCAATGCAGATCCAGAAATCAGATTCACTATAGACTATAGTGCTCTGGCTCGACTTGGTCCAGACACATGGTTCACTATGGTGTTCTGGCTCTGTATTAGCCCTCGCAGATCCAAAAAATAGAGTCATTATTGTGTTCTGGCTTGATTTGGTCCAGAAGTGAGTTTGACTAAGGCTTGAGTAAGCTCGATTTCAGTTGAAATATTCCTTTCACCAGAAGCCCCACATGGGAGGCCGAGTGTTGTGGCTTGATGTTAACCCTCGCAGATCGAAACATTAGCCTTACTATAGTGTTTTGGCTCGATTTGGTCCAGAAATGAAACTCACTATGGTGTTGTCGTTCGATTTCAGGTCTCGCAGATCCAAACATGAGACTCGCTATTGCGTTCTGGCCCGATTTGGTCCAAAAACGAGATTCACGATGTGTTCAATACATTCGATTTCCTTTTAAAAATGATTTCTCGCACCAAAAGCTCCACAGGGGAGGCCAAGTGTTTTGGCTTGATGTCGGCCCTCACAGATCGAGAAATTAGACTCACTATAGTGTTTCGGCTTGGTTTGGTCCAGCAATGATGATAACTTTGCTGTTCTAGTTCGACGTCGGGCCTCCCAGATCCAGACATGAGACTCACTATGATGTTATGACCTGAAGTTGGTCAGACATGTGACTCACTGTTGTGTTATAGCTTGATTTCTGCTTATTGATTCCTTGCACCAGAATATCCACACGGGGGCGAGTGTTTTTGACTCGACGTTAGCCCTCGCAGATCCAAATATGAGACTCACTATAGTGTTTTGGCTCGATGTCAGCCGTCCCAGGTAGAGAAAATATGGCAGCGGCATCGGATTCTTAAACGTGTGGCAAGGCCATCGGCTTCCCACCGTTCCAGCCACCAGGAGTGGGGTCGCTCGGTGCCTGATGCTGTTCCAAGCGCGTTCATGTCATCATGCCGACATCACGAACGTCACCCTCATCAGCAAGTTCAACTCTCGCAAGCCGACGCTTCAGGCGTCCATTCGCCTCCACATTTTAGCTGTTATTGGGGAGGTTAGCTGGGGTATTTTTTCGGTGAACCCGTAAAGTCCGTTACGGGTGTCGCCCTCCCCCCCCTCTCCCCGTAACGGTGCTGACCATGTGCGAGGGGGGGTGGGGGGGGGGCAGTTTCCCCATAGGCTTGGCGAGGTGCTCGAAGGCATGCTGCATGTTGCGGACTGGCACGCTTTGGCGTTCACAAGCGTGCGGCGGAGCTCGCAGGCCCATCCCCCGCCCCCCCCCCGCGACGGGTTTCAATTGGGGGAGTAAAACACAATCTCGTTATCCTTCTTGCTTTCGTGTTCCCCCGTTTCCTGCTCATGGGCCTCCTGACTTTGGTCCTTTGACAACTGCTGAACATGAGGGTTTCGATCCCTGCTTCCCCTGGACATGGCCGAGGAGTCGCCCGCCCCCCCCCCCGCATTCCCGCATAGCGTTTCGCTAACGGGTTCCAACAGAGTCCAACAATCCCTCTCACGAGTATCTTCTTTGATCTGTGGAAGCCGATCAATGAAGAGGAAACATGCTGCCAAATAATTTCCAGATGTATCAAATATGTGTCAAACATGTTGAAAACATGTTAAAGATATATTTGAAGCGTGTTTAGAACATGTGTTTTTTATAATTTGAGAACATGTCGAATTCAATTGTAAGATTATTAGAAGTGTCCACTGTCATGGCATCCACCACCTTTGAGTTCAGAGGGGGACGGGGGAGAGCGTCTCGCCGGCCCGGCGGCGCGGCCCGGAACGGTCCGGCAGCGCTCACGATGGTGTTCGGGCTCGGCTTGGTCCAGGGGTGAGGCTCACTATGGTGTGCTGGCTCGGCGTCAGCCTTCGCTGATCCAGACATGGGATGCATACTCGTGCTCTCGCTTGATTTGGTCCCGAAATGACATGCACCCTAACGTTCTGGCTCGAACCTGGTCAGACACGAGGCTCATGACAGCGTTATGGAATCGGCGCCGACATGAACTTCACTGTGGTGCTCTGGCACGAATAGGTCCAGGCA